CAGAGGCTTGGCTGGCAGATCTCTCCCCGTGGCAGCGATTTGAAGCTGCTAAAATACTTCCAGCATCTGACACTCTCCATAACAAGATTCAAAGGGCTTGTTTGAGAGGGAAATGTTTAATCCAGGGATGGGGGGAGGGATGTGGGGAGTAACAAACAACAGATTGGGAAAAGGATTCATAAATATCTCATCAGAGTGAAGTGGGTCAGCAGTGTTTGCTGTGACTGGGTGCTGCTGTCTCTGAGGGTTGGATTTGGGAGGGCTGGGAAGCACAGCAGGCTCCTGTACAGTCTGTCCCTGGCTGTGCAGCACTGAGGCCGTTCAGGAGTGTCTGTGACAAGTGACTCTGCTGGTGTGGGGTTTGCGTTGCGTTGTGTCACGTTTGCCGTGCGTTGCGTCAGGAGCCGGGGGCTGAAATAGCCTGGAAGGGAGCTAAAAATCCTCCTTGGGGAGCTGCTCATGGCAGCTGAGAGAACACAAGCTCCTTATGTAAAGCTGCTTTAATATTTATGGTAATATCAGAGGCGGTGCATTACCTCATCCATCTTCGCTGCACTTCTTGGGCATGGGGAATGGCTTAGTCACTACTCTGCTGACCTTCTCCTGGGTGCTTGCTTGGCACCTCCCTGCCTTGAACACATTTGTTCCCCTAGCAGCTCAGAGAAAAGGAGAAATGCTGGCTTTCCCCATTGGGAATGGGGAGTTGAAGCGCCAGGAATGCTGCTCAGCCACAGGAGGGGACTGGAGACAAATCCTTCCAGCCCTGACACATCACTCCAGGTGTGGCAGAGGGGACAGGCACAGACCCCTGAGGACACGTCCCAAAGGACAGGGTGGTCCAGGCTGCATTCCTTAGGGGTTAGATGAGAAGATGGAGGAGAGTGGGATGGTGAGAGTGCTGGGGAAGGAGCTCCCTCTGCTGCTCCAGAGCCACCTTTGGTGCCAGCAGCTGTTTCCTTAGGGACAGCAAGGGTCTGTCTGTCCCGTGCACGAGGGGATGAGTGCCTTTCTTCCAGACAGACAGGAGTGACAAAGAAAGGAAGAGGAGATTAGGGGATGAGGGGGAGGATTTGAAGATAAGGTGTTTCCTGCCATCTCTGGCTCTTTCTGCACAGCATTGCTCCAGGTCAGATGTGGTCAGTAGCTGTTTCCAAGATGGATGTTTCCAACTGGGGGACACCTGGAGTGTAGGGATGGACCTTTGTTGCAGGATAAATCCTGATACATAACCTCACTGTGCTGTTAAATCCTTCCTTGCTGCCAGTCTCAGTGTGGCAGTCAAGGACCTGATGGAAATGGGTTGCTTTTCATGATGGAGGGAAAAACCCTGGGGATGAGCTTCCCACTGCACCCCAGACTCACACCCTGGAGCAGCTCCTCGCTCTTGCAAAGTGACACTGACTTTTCCTTCCACATGGAAGCAGCAGAGGAGGATGAGAGGGTTTGGAGCTGGGATGGGTCCCTGCAGAGAGAAGGGGCCATGCTGGTGGAGCTGTGCTGTGGCACAGATTTGGGGCTGGGATGGGTCCCTGCAGAGGGAAGGGGCCATGCTGGTGGAGCTGTGCTGTGGCTCAGCTCAGCAATGACTCATCCGCTGCGCTTGGTGCAGGATTGATGCAGCTTTCATCTGTGCACGCAGGAGACAGATGAATAGATGTGTTTGGTGATTTGCTGGGATTTGAGGCAGGAAAGTGCCCTTCAGGGAGCCAAGGGGAGCTGCTCCTCTGCTGGCCTGTTGCTCCAGTGGAGGGCAGCTTGTTGCTCTGGGTGAGTCTGACTGCACTGACCTTGAGAGCATCCCAGGGGAGCTGTGGTGTTTGTGTGCCAATCTTTGCAGCAGCAATTTGGAAAGCTTTCCTTTTCCTTTTTCTCCTTGATCATCCCTGATTTTATTACACCAGCTCCTTCTTCCCAGCCTGGGAAAGAGCTGGTTAGCTCTGGCAATGAGAACCTTCCAGAAAGGGCACTGATTGTTAAACAGAAATAGCATGGAGCAGGGAACGAAGCCTGTCTCCCACAAAATCTTATTCCCAAGTGCTGCTGCCTGTGTAGGAGGCAGAGAGGGAGATGAAGGGGGAGGAATGGGTAGACAGGCAGAGACAGCAGCTGACAAGAGAAAAGGAAGGAATAAAAAGATGTGAGGAGCTATAAAGAAGAAAGGAAAGGCAGGAAAATGTGTCATTAGAGAAAAACTTGGTGTGATGGAATGAGGGAAGAGGAGGAGACAAAGGAATGGGGGGAACCCTCACATGCAGGGTTAGTTTTTTGAAATGAGGAAATGACTTCTTTCTTCAGTCTGGGGGAGAGAGAGGTGCTTAAGGATGAGCCCATGGTCATGCCCTTGGAAGTACAGGATGGAGAGCAGAGATGGTTCCCAAGGTAGGGAGCTAAGAACACATAGAAGAGGGTTAAGTACTGGGATGGAAGAGGATGTGCTGCTAAGGGTACCCAGGTGCCAGAGGGGAGCCAGGCCAGAGGGTCTGGAGAGGTGCTGGGTGATCCTGTGGCTACTTGCAGTGATGGAAAACCACAGGCAAAAGCCCTTTATGCAGGCACTTAAGAACTGCCAATATTGATTTTTGGCTTAGTTTGGTTTCTGCATATTTTAAAACCTTTTCTAAGCTGTGTGATGGGTTTGTGTTGCTTTTAGTTGAAATGCACTTAGAATTAGGAAATTCTCTTTGTGGCAATGCAGGGCATGGCAGCAGGACAAAGCTCCTGGCTCCATGGCTCCAAGCAAAACCAGCTTTTGTGCCCCCAGGAATGTGGAGCAGTGAGGGGTGTGGATAAACCTGGAGGTGCCTGGGCTGTGCAGGGTCCCCATTTCTCAGCCAGAAGGTGAGTTTGCCCTCCCTGATTTACCTCACGAACTCCATAGGCTGCACATGATTTTCCTAGGGAAAGAGCAGAAGTTTAATTCTTGGTCCATGTGCTGTAACCACATGAATGTCAGTGTGTGAGTGGCCCAGTTAACTGATATCAAAGCAACAAAGAAGGTAAATTAATATTTATGCCATGATTAATCTGACCCTCCCTGCTTTAACCTGTGAGCCTGCTTCAGTTGTGGGCTCCACTTACTATTTCTTTGTGTCTCATTGTACCAGATTGAAAAAAAAAAAAAGGATAAATTGGTCCCAAACCAAAGGAGCAGAGCCCTGGGAGTGACTGTGTGCAGCCTCAGCTCTGGATTTATGTAGGATTTGTGCTGACAGAGCAGTATGGATGCTCTCTGGAAGCACAGGAAAAGGTGAGGCAGGTGATATCTACAGAAATATCACAGAATGAGCACCGAGAGGAAAATATTCTTGCACTTGGCCAGGCCCTTGTTTCCCTCCCACGCCCCAAGCCACAGCGAGGTCTGAAGCTGGGTGAGCATCCGGGGTGGTGTTTGTGTGGTACAGGATGCCCAAATGTCTGATACACACTCAGCAAGTTGTGAGGGAGGCACAGTTTGGGCTTTCCAAAAGGGTTTAGTTTCCCAAACTAGGGAATGCAAGCACTGTCCAGCTGCAGTCAATGAGAAATACGGGGTTTTATGGTCACCAAGCCTAGTGCAGCGTGAGGAGCTGGGCTGGAGGATCCTTGTGGGTCCCTTCCAACTTAGGATATTCTGTGAGAGCTGTGGGATTCCATGATTTTGGTGCTGCAGTTCCCTCAGTCTGCTCTAGCTGGCTGGCACTGGAGCAGCTGGTGGCCACCAGGCAATGGCTGGCAAGGGGGAGCACGAGAGGGAGGTGTTTCCATCTTACACTTAGGAGCCATAAGGTGTTGCTCAGCTTTGCTCTAGTCCCAGATCTCTCATTTCTGTGAGATTTCCTCCATTCCTGCCTAAATGGAGATGAAGGCCCCATGTTTGTCAGCCTCTTTCCCAGAAGAATCAGCAGTACAGGTCATTGCTGCAGTCCTGGGACCTTGTTCCTGTCATTAGAGGAGTGATCTGCCCTCTGGGCCGCTGTGGAAGGAACCTTTTCTGGCTGAGGTTTGTGAGGAGCCTCTTCAGCTCTCGATGCAGACAATGAGCTCTGATTTCACTTAGCAGGCAGAAAGCTCCTGGCAGGTTCCTGGCAGCCCTGAAGGTCAGCAGGGAGGCAGCAGTGCCTGTGGCTTGGATCCTGGTTACTCTTTATTTCCTGAGCTCGGGGCTGATGTGGTGCTGAACTGCCAGAGCCTGCTGGCAAAGTGCCCGGTGCATTGTCCTCTCCTCCCATCACATGGGTGTGCAGCCACAGGAGCTCCATCCTCAGCTCACCCTGCCCTGCCAGTTTTGTGGGGTGAGGTTCTTGTGGTAGTTTTTCGTCCCCTCAAAGCCCACTTTGTCCCTTTGCTGAATTGCCGTGGTGCAGCAGTGCTGTTCACTGCTTCCACCAGTTCCCTGGGGAAGATAGCCCCAGATGATCACCAGCATCCTGTTTGGCTCCATGGGCAAGTCCAGCAAACCCTGAAAGGAGATGACAAGACTGAGATGTCTCTATCACCATGAGATCCAGCTCTGCAGTAAATCCATGCAGTTAATTCTCTGTTTTGCACCAGCTGAGGATCTGGCACTTTGTTTTGCTGTTGCTCTACCAAAATGCTGGTAGAAATAATCCTTTTATCTCTGCTATCTGTGAGAACTGAGAAACTAATGCTGCATTTCCTGCAGTACCCATCTGGAGAGAAAGTATCACATAAGATCACATTTTAACCACTTCCTGAATGGACCTTGGGATAGTGCTGCAAAAGGGAGGGTGGAGGGTGAGACAGAGAGGAAGGATCTATCCATCTGTTCTCCTGTGGAACACAGTGTTCTTTCCTTACCCAGAAGGAATTGAAAGGGTGAGCAAAGGCAAAGCAAGGTTTATTTGGCTGGATGTGAGTTTGTCATCACTGACAAATGGCCTCACACACACAGCCGGGATGGACTTGGACTATGGATGCCCAGTATGGCAGCCATAGATGACAGTCAGTCCAACTTGTTTGATGTTCCTGTTCGATATTAGGAAAAAAATCCTTCCCTGGGAGGGTGCTGAGGCCCTGGCACATATTGACCAGAGAAGCTGTAGTTGTCCCATCCCTGGAAGTGTCCAAGGCCAGGCTGTGCAGGCTTGGGGCCCTCTGATCCAGTGGAAGGTGTCCCTGCTCATGGCATGATCAAGGTGAGTTTTAAGGTCCCTTCTAACCCAGGCCATTCTCTGCTTCTGTGATTGCTACAGGCACAGAGCCTGTAGTAAATGCTTTGAATGGAGTTCACAGTTCTGAAAGAAGGAGCCAACAGTTTTCCAGTCTTCCTTTCCATCCTCCTCCATCACCTCCAGGCAGAGCAACACAGGCTTGCTCTGCCCTGTCACTCACCTCTCCTTGTTCTGCTTCCCGCTCCAGGTGCTGTACCATGTCCAGGTAGGACACTGCCAGCGTAACAAGCATCCCAAGACAGCCTCTCCCAGGCCTTGAGCTCGGGTGGCTCCTCTGCTTCCTGCAGCAGCTGGGCGAGGGAGAAGAGCTGGGATAGCCCCACGTATCCAGCCGCTGCCCACAGCACCCCTACGATGGATTCCAAAGGCAACGTCCGAAGCGGAAACAAACCCGACGCCAAGGCCGCCAGCTCCGGGAAGCCGGAAAAGCCCAACCCCGGGCCTGCCACGAATGCAGACAAGAAGGAGGCCCCCAAAGAGCAGCCTGCTCCTGCCACGGCCACCAAGAAGGCAGCAGGTGACGCCGCCATCGCCAACAACCACAGCAACCTGAAGCCTGGCCCCGCCGGCACGGAGCCGCAGGAGGCCAGCGGGCAGTCCCCTGACTCTGACCACAAGGGAAACAGCTCCGAGGAATCCCCGGGCGGCTTCTTCGACAACATGAAGCCCTTGATCATCGTGGGAGGAGTGGCGGTGGCCGCACTGGCTGTGATTGTGGGAGTGGCTTTCCTAGCCCGGAAAAAATGAAGACCGAGACGGGGTGGGGATGAGGAACCCAGCCCAGCTGTACAGCTCCTTTTGAGACAAATGCATGCAGAGAAATTCTATACATAGCTATATATATAGAGAGCAAGCTAGATAGGCCAACAACAAACACCAACTGCAACACCAGGGTCTTGTTCAAGACGACTGTGCCAGTCTGACCCGCTGTGGGTAACTCCATGCACTCAGTGTGTTCTTTCATGTAATATATCTTGGCTTATACCGCTGTGTATAGATTACAGCTTCTCCTGATCGGTGTAAATGACGGTGTCCCCTCCCCTCCCCTGCTGTCCTCCCTGGGAGACACCTCTCCTCCCCTCCTTGCAGTCCCGTTTTCAAGTCCAAAGTGTTCTACGTCCCATTCAGAGTCCCAATTTGTGTTTTGGTTTCTGTTTGGTTCTGTTTTAACTTGGGCTGTGGTAAAGAAGATGGAAGGGGAGTGCTAAGGCCCGGCTCTCCTGTCACGCTGGGCTGGGGGTGTTTTTCCAGCCCCATCCCAGGACAAGGGAAGCGCAGGGGCAGTGGCAGGGAAGAGGCAGCTCCCTGACCCAGCAGCCACGGGCGATCCCTGATCGGTGTCTGTGCATCTGCCCCTCATCACCCCACCTTGGAATGCCTGCCTGGGAAGTGCTCCGGAGGAACTAGGGCGGCTGCGGCGTGGCAGAGCCCAGTGTGAGCCTGGGATGTCACATCAGGTCACTCCTCTGGCTGAGCTGCCAGCGGGACAGTGACCAGAGGGGCTGTGCTGTGGCCCAGAGAAGTCCCATTGCAGCCTTCAGGATCCCAGGGCTCGCCAGGGTTGCGTGGGCAGCGTTTGGAATAGAGAGACTTTGTTTTGGATCTAGTATTTCCTAAAGTTAGGCTGGGCTTTGCAGGGTGCTGTGGGCTCAGTCTAAGCTCCCTCGAGGTTGGCTGGACTATTTGTGTTCATTTTTTGGGGTTTTGGATAAGGCCTTTCACTGGATTTTTTTTTCCCCACTGAAGGCTGTGGTCTCTCAGCATATGGGAAGACAGGAAAATGGGGAGAAATGAGCTGATGTTAGGGCAGAGAGGACCTAGGACCCCATGAGAGTAACACTAACCTACCTGCTTTATACCAGGGAACCCCCTTCAAGGGCACTGGAGTCTGTCCTGGGTGGATTTCTTGCCTCCCTCTTGTGACAGTAGTAGCAGGGATTTGTAATTCGTCCACACTTTGGAAATGGAAACAAATTCCTGGCCCTCAGGAGCAGCCTGATTTCATGGGTGAGTACCTTGGCTCTCAAGCCAGACCTTGTGAGGGGGAGGAGAGAGGGTGTTTAGTGCTTTGGCCAGAGCTCAGCACTAAACAGCAAGGGGTGAGGAGCTCTGCCTCTGAAAGCTTCCATTAGGCTTCTGTTGGCTGCTGCAAAACAGTGTTACAAAAACCCCTTACATTTTGGGTTGAAATGGGGTCAGAGATGAGATGAGGTCCAGTGGGAGCTCGGCAGCAGCCACAACCCATGGGCAGGGCAGGAGTGATGGTTAGAAAGGGGCTGTGACACAGTGGGGTGAGCTCTGTTACAGAGCCCATTGTGCACCTTTAACTGAGATGGATGGATGGATGGATGGATGGATGGATGGATGGATGGATTCAGGGGCTGCAGGGGTACAGGGAGGTGTGCATTCCTCAGGTGCTGCCTATGCAGTGTCTGCCTCTGGCACAGTCCCTGGATGGGATGGTGTGGGGGTATAACCTGACCTGGCAATTCTGCTCTTGGCTCGTGTCTGTCTTATTCACCTCCAAATCTGAATGCACATGGGCTTGGAATGCATGGCTACTCCTGTGGTGAGCTCAGAAAATATTCCCAAAGGTTTGTGGCCTCTGGGAGTATCAGACACTGTGTCCTGGTGCAGATGGAAGTTGGTGCCTCCACCTTTGCCAGCACAGAGACAGGAGCAGGCGTGTTGGGCTCACAGGAGTCTTGGGAAGCAGGGCTACAGCTCCAGGTGAGATCCTGGTAGCCTAAAACACTCTTGGCATGAGCTGTGGATGTGTTCCCAGCAGCAGTGTGTCACTTACTGCCTGGGGAAGAGTTAGAAGCAGGAGGGTCCTCCTCTCCCCTCAGCAGCACAACTTGGCAGGGAAATTTTCACAGGGAGTTTTGCTAACGTTGCTCAGAAGGAAGAGAAATCACCCCCTCCTGCTCTGGTTCATGTTTTGCCACATAGGGTAGTGATTTTCAGACAGTGACTTCTGTTTTCAAGCGATGTTTCCACCTTTCCTGCCCCCTCCCTCCCTCTCAGCTCTGGCCTAGGATTGTTTTCAGCAGTGTGTGACATTAGGCACAGCATCTATCTGTTCTGCCCTGACCAGCATAGATAGATCAGGGAGGAAAGTGAAGCACCTGCTCCACTCGAGTCTCCAGTTTTCCTTTCTAAAATGTTTTTATTTCCTTGTCTTCACCTTTGGCAACAGAAGAGGGGAAAAACAGTTCTCAGCCAATGGCCTTAACCTTTTCTCCCTCTCCAAACCCTGCCTGCCCTTAGAGCACTTGGATGCAAGGCCAATTTCATCCAGAAACGCCCCAGAGGTGGCGATGGGGCCGCAGCTCCGTCAGGCACAGCGCTCATTCGAGCCCTCCCTGCTCGGCCAGCCTGGTATGTTCTGTTTGTTAGGGGTTTCTGAACGAGGTCTGTCCTGTTCCCAAGGGATTTCCCACTTCCTGTGATCAGTCTGCTGTCGAGGTTCAGCACCTGGAACCCACCTCTTTGGCTGTGTGGTTTGGAAAACACCTCTCTGTGTCTGTGTATGTGTGTGTGTGTGCCTTGAAGCACATCCTGTGTGTGTGTGTACAAACCTCTGTGTTGCATTGCTGCAGTCTGGGAGGGGGAGAGAATCCAAGCTGGAGATGCCCCTTCCTTTGTTCCCTGCAGTCACACCAAGTGTCCATGATGTGTTTTCTGTGCCATTCCCACCACGCCATGCAGCTCCTGGATTCCTTTCCAGTCCTGGTTTCTCCTCAGTGCAAGGGATGTCTGGCTGGTGAAGTGCTGAGTGTGTGGTGTGCTCGGAGCCCCGAGCCCCTGCTCCCCCCCTGGGCAGTCCTGTGGGCTCTTTGCTTTAAATTGAGGCACTTTTAGACCCTCCTGGACTGTGCTGTAGCGCTTTTCCAAGCGTGGCTCCAGCGTTGAGCCAGGCAGACACAGTGTAGATGCCACAGCGCGCCGCAGCCCTGCCTTGCAAACAGCTCCTGTCCTGCCTTCCTGTGCCAGGCTGTGCAGTGCTTTTGTTCTGAGCCAAAAATGTCCAGCGAGCACCAGGGAGGGAGCACATGCCCCTCTCTCAGCCCCAAAGCTGTGGAAGCAGAAGGCTTTAATGACTGACCTCGCTGCTGTGCTAAATAAATAGTTGTCTTTTCTCTCATACTGAGCACACGCCGTTATTTGCTTGATGTCCTTCTTTGTGTGGTTTTTGTGGTATGAAGTCCTTCCAGTGACATCTCCATGGGGAGAGTGAATTAACACTTAAAACTAATCAAGAGTCTGTGCTTGGGGTTTGAAGAGATCTAGATTGCTAGTTTACTCTTTTGATCAAGTCGAAAAATTAAATATTGGCAAAACTGGTTTCAGTTATCACCAAAACTCTCAATTGAATCACTGCACCCAATCTCAATCTCTTTTTAGGGAATCATAAATTTTAGTTGAATATAAAGATGTCATTTTGCTGTCTTGGACAACTCAGTAGAAGGTTTTTTGCTGCTTCTATTTTAAGAGAGATGAAATGGATTATGCTTCTGCTTCCTCTTCCTACTGATTTAATACCCTGTAGATAAGTCCTGTTATTCCTAGCAGTGCTGCAGCAGGATGAAAACAAATCTGGCAGCCAGGGGATTGTGCAGCAGCATTTTGGGGAGGGTAAGAATGCATTCCTGCTTGCCTGGGGCTCCCTTAAAGCACTCAACAGTCACTTGCCCTGAAGCATTTCTTAGGGGCCTGGGTGATAAACTAAACATCCATTTGTGTCTCTGATGGACTAGAGTTTGATGGTTGAGCTATAGAATATTGAAAACAAGGGGAATTTTTCCACTGGCTTCACCATGCTCTGGCCTTTGAGTTCTTGTTGGCACCAGGGATATGATCACAGGTCATCATAAAATCATCTCAATTGCACATTTACTTTTCAATTGACACAAATGTTCCTTAGAGTGAGCGTAAGGGAAGTCTCTTCTCCGAGGCAGCTCTGCTTATACTGGCATCAGGATTTGTGTATGAACAACAGCAGTGCAACCAAAAAGCCCCTGGAGCTGGTGAGAGATGATTTATGCCTTAAAATATTCCTTACTTTTTCTGGAAATGCTACTGGGGTTTAGAATTCAGCAGCCTTCTAACTATTCTTAGAATTGGTTGAAAATAACAGTGCTGAAGATTGAAGAGGAAAATGATTCTTTGAGAAGTAAACCAAAAAAGGAAGGCAATGAAAAAATATATTTGAAAGGTGAAATTCTTGGAATTTCAATCAGCTCCATGGAAAGCTTCAAGTTGGTGAAGATTCTGAGAGGGTGCCAGGAACAGAACAGAGAAGTGGAGAGAAAAAGCACTATTTAATTATCTTAATAGCTTTGGTAAGGACATACTAACTTTTATATCCTCTTCTCCCTTTTTGTTTCCTCAGAAAAAGGCAAAAATGACAAGCTCTGGTGCCATGCAAATTAACCTCTGCTAATTGCCTTTTCCAGATGAATTCCTGCTGGCTCTGAGCAATGTTAAAGGGTTATAAAAATACCTGAACTTTTCTATAACCAACTTTGCATGATTCAGGGGAATTGCCAGGACATCAGGAGGGGCTGTGTTCTCTTTTCACGTCGTGACAAGGACTGCAAATGCTTGCACTTCTATCCTCCTGGTCCATCCTCCATGCTGGAGCAGGAATGATTCCCTGATTCCCTTCCCAGGCCTTGCTGTGGTGTCATTCCCTTCACCACGAGGCTGGGAGAGGAAGCAGCATCACATCATGTTCATGAGCTGGCTGCATTTCTGCTGCACAGCTTGGGCACTTCCCACCACAAAGAGGAACTGGCTTTGATCTGGAGCATAGCAGTTCTGTATTCCAGTAAATTCTCCCTGCAGGACATTGGAATTGGGAATATTTCCTGCTATTTACACTGGAGGTATTTGGTCATTTACTCTTTTGGGGAGAAATCTGCTGATGCTGAGGATTTGTTGGCACATTTGGGGTCTTATGAGTGACACTTGGCTGACAGCTCCAAAAAGCCTTGGAGCCTGTGCCCCCATGCAACAACCCTCAAAGGATGTTTAATCCACTGAATAAAGTGGGTTTATGATGACTTCTTCCTCTTCTTTTTGAGACCATCAATAACCTGATTTCCTTTTAAATCCCCTAATTCCTGGGATGTCTGTTGGCACCAGATCTTCAGCTGTGACAAACTACGAGGTTCCATTGGTTTCTGATCTGATTCATTGCTTGTTCTTTCCTCCTTCTTTGGCCACTGCACTGTATTCACTTTTCTTTCCCTACTTTCTTCCTGGGCAGCTCTGCAGATGTGGCCTCTCCATAGCCCAAGGCTGGGGCAGATTTTGGGTTGTCTAAGGCAGGTTTTAGGTGCTCCCCCAAAAATACAGGCTATGCTGGGCCCCCAGACTGTGTCACAGCAGAGAGTGTGTGGAGCTTTGATCTGCCCTCACCTTTGAGGGTGTAAGTCTGCCACAGGATTTGTGATGGATGACAAATCCCCAGGAATTCCTCTCCTTCCCTGCCAGGTGTGAGGTGTTCTGGCTGCTTGAGAGGGGCTGACATGGTGTGAGCACACACTGCCCTTGGCTGCAGCCAGAGCTCCCTCAGCCCTCTGGAGCACCAAAAACAGAGGGAAAAGAGAAGTTTTGAGGTTGAGGACATGTATTTCTGCTGGCCTGGAAGGATCAGCTGTTGTGCCAGGGGTGAGGGTGCAGGAAGTGCAAGGATTGTCTCATCTCAGTGAGCTGATCAGGTGTCACTGGGTGATAGGGAGCTGTGGGACGTCTGGGCCTCTGAAATTCACATTTTATTCAATTTGCCATAATAGGCCTCAAAGTCCCATGAGAGATCAAAGCCTTTGGCTTTCCAAATTCATGAGTTTGGATCTACCTTGTGCTACAGCTCTGCTCCCTCCTCTGGACAGTGTGTGCTCGGATATGCAGCACTCTGGGACTTGTGCCCTCTGCTCTTTGATACTCTTCAAACTAAATAGATTTTTCTGCTGAAAAGCATAACTTGGGTTAAACAGGCTTTGGACTGGCTGTTCCCATTTCTCTTCTGGTTGTTCCCAGCTTGCAGTTCTCAAACAGTTCCATCACTTTTCCATTTCTCAGCCTCAGCGCAGCATCCCAAACCTGAATGTATATGTTCTTTCTGTCTGTGTGATGATGCTGCAGCACCAAAGCTCCCACCAGGACAAGAGGAATCTTCATTCACCTTTCCAACAGTCACATCCTGCATCATATCCCTGGTTCTGCCACGGCTGCTTCAAGCAGCCAAGCTTCTGGGGCAAGCTGATGAGAACAAAGGTGCCACACAATTTTGTTTGGTTAAAAACCAACCAACCAACCAACGTGGGAATAATTTGGCTTTACTGAGTTTTGAGCAGCCCTTCATAACCCTGGTGCCTTTTCCCAGGACTATTTCAACTGAAGCCTTTACAAGTTCCAGTTTCACCTCCCCAGGAAACCAACTCTCTTCCAGTGCAGGTTAGCTACTGGTTTGTGGAGGAACTCAAATTTTAGGAAGGGAAATTGAAGGTCAGATTACAGGGGATTTTTATTTTGGTTTTGGTTTGTTTGGATTCTGTTACTTCTCCAGGGACTGATCCAAAGCCCTCAGAAGTCAGACTGAAATGCCTGCTGTTCCTTTGGAAGCCTCAGGCACCTTTCCAATGGCCTTGGTGGGTTTTGAGTCAGCTCCTGAGTGTGTTTTCCAAACAATAGGAATTTTCCAAGTGACACCTTGATTTCTTCCCCGTACAACCAGACCTGCTTGTCACTTACACATCTCTACCTGTGTTCAACATACAGGTTTGGGTTTTTTTTTTTGCTCTCAGAAACAATATGCTGCTAGACACATTTCCTGGAGGGAAATGGACACCTACCTACACACAAAGCTACCCAGCTAATTTATACCTTGTTGAATTTATAATCTTGTCTATGCTTCTATGGACACTTTGTATGGGCTGCAGCTCAAATCCTAAAATAGTCAAGAATTTTTTCCTTTCCCATATAGTATTCTATTTACTTTGACTTTGAAAACAAAAAAAGCGTATAAATGCAATAATGCAGGTAGACTAGAAATACTAGATTGAAAATTTAAAGTAGTTTAGCTTGTCCCATTGTGACTGACAGTGTTGTACGACACCCAACGCTGTACCCTGACATTTTCCAGGCTTTCTCCGTAGCTGAATCTAGTATTAGCTTTGGAAACCCATTGTGTGAGTGGTGGGTGGATGGGTCGGAATCGTGTGCTCTCTACACACTGTATGTTACTCACATCACAAGCTGTATGGCCACTCCATATGCTGTGAAACTGTAAATGATTCCCAAATACACCTGTAACTCTTACCAGGATTGTGAGAAATAAACTATATATAGATATATATACACACACATAGAGAGATTGTATAATTCCTCCCGTGAGCATCTTCGTGTACCTGGGGGTGTGAGTGGAACCTGCTGTGCCCCCTCTGGAGGTTGTCTGGAGAAAGCTGTGGCTGCCCCATCCCTGGACACGTCCAAGGCCAGGGTTCACAGGGCTTAGAGCAACCTGGGATAGTGGAAAGTGTCCCTGCCCATGGGAGAGGTGGAACGAGGTGAGCTTTAAGTCCCCTTCCAACCCAAACCATTCCATGATTCCTGGATTTTCTGTCTGTGTTTCCCAAAGGCCCGATGTTTTCTAGGTGATCCCACTGAGAACTGTGAGAAAAGGCAGTTCCTGCCCCAAAAAACTCCAGCCTGCCCAGGGAAAGCAAGATGATTATTGTTTTTCCCAGATAGGAACTAAATTGAATTGTAGATTTACCCAAACATTTCCAATCCAAGAGATTCCCTATCCCACAGCCTGCTCTCCAGCTTTCACCCCCAGTTCTTTGCTGTGACCTTTTTCCTGCAAAATTTCTCCTGTTGGTTTTCTGGTTTTGTTTCTGAGATGGCCTGGGAACACCTCCCAGACAAAGCATCCCCTGAGCACTGGGTGGTGTCTCTGCGGTCCCTGTGCACGGATTCCCAGCAGGCTCTGGATGGGAGGAGGGTTTTGGCAGCACATGTCACTGCACAGGGCTGGTGTTGTATTACTCCAGCTCCAATCAGGGTCCCGATGGGACTCTGCAGGCTTCTGGAAATTAATTTCTTAAGAACCGGGCAGAAAAATCCTGTAAATTCCACAGGGTCAGGAAAAAGGGCATCCTTCAGCTGCAAAAGTGTAATCATCTGAGGATTTTGCTGCAGAAACACAGCTGGGGACTCGAGTTTTAGTTTGACAGGAGCAGGAGATAAAATAAATTCCTATTTTCTGAGTGGGAATGCTGGAGCTGATGAGAGACTGGGATGGGGGCCTGATCCTCCCATGGCCCCAGTCAGGGTGTGGGGAATTCCACGTGCCTGGGGTAGTGAAGGGAGGATGGGAAGAGCTGATGGAACAAGGGTTGGACAGCACTGTCCTTTGTTTGTTTAAAAAGCACTGGAGTCATGAGCAGAGAATAAGGACCATAAATGCGATGCTCTGTGATATAAAGGCTTAGGCTGCTGGAGTGGCACTAAATCCTGAAGTATTCCCCAGTGAAACTGAATAGTGAATGAGATGCTTTTTTTTCCTTTTAAAAAATAATTTTCTGGTATCTAAGCTGGAGCAGTGAGGAACATCCAGATTAACCAGCCTATGGATTCGGAACACAGCTCTGGAGAAAAAAAGGAGACAGAGATGATTGAAGAGACCAACAAGGTGGCATAAGCTACATTTCCTTTAGGAAACCAGGCTAGAAATTAAACCCTTTCCAATAAACAAATAAAGCCAATAGCAGGATTGCACTGTCTTTATTTTACACCTTTTATTTTATAACTGCATTGTGTCTGCAACACACCAGCAGCCAGCAAGGGCTAAACCTATTAAATTCACACAGGGATGAGAGATGCAAATGCAGAAACGGAACACTGAGGTTTACGGAGGTGGGGAAATAAGGAAACAGTGACAGTTGCCGGTGGGACGCGGCACTACGGGATTCTCGGGACACCCGAGCGCTTCCAAAGCTCCCGCGGCGGCAGCACCCCCTCAGCGCTTCCCGCGCTTTTCCGCCTCCCTCGGGATTCCGCGCGCTTTCCCCGCCCCTCCGCGCGCCCCGCATCGCGCACGCGCGGCCCATGAGGCTCCGCCGCTGCCCTCAGGCCCCGGCCCCGCCATGTCGGAGCGGCTGGCCAAGCCCTCCTGCCTCATCGTCGCCAGCGCCGCCACCGCGGGTAAGACGCTCTCGGGGGGCCCCGCCGGTTCGCGGGGAGCCGCTGCTCCGGCCTCTGCTGGTGTCCCGCGCTCCCCGTCCCTTCCCAGCGCTGCGGCGGGCGGGGCGGAGCGGGGCGGGGCGGGGCTGGGCTGGGCTGGGCTGGGCTGTCCCGGGCGCGGCTGTTGCTGCGTGTCCCGCGTGTGCCCGTCCCACGGCCCTTGCCGTGTGGGTGTCACTGCAGCCGGGCTCCCTTGCCCTGTGGGTGTCCCGTGTGGGCAACGCTACAGCCGGGCTGTGCAGCCGTGTGGGTGACCCTGCAGCCGGGCTCCCTTGCCCTGTGGGCGTCCCGTGCGGGTGACACTGCAGCCGGGTTCTCTCACCGTGTGGGTGACTCTGCAGCCGGGCTCCCTCGCCGTGTGGGTGTCACTGCAGCTAGGCTGCGCAGCCGTGTGGGTGTCACTGCAGCCGGGCTGTGCAGCCGTGTGGGTGTCACTGCAGCCGGGCTCCCTTTCCCGTGTGGGTGACACTGCACCCGGGCTCCCTTGCCGTGTGTTATCCCCCGTGTGGGTGTCACTGCAGCCGGGCTCCCTTGCCCGTGTGGGTGACGCTGCACCCGGGCTCCCTGTCCCGTGTGTGTCCCCCGTGTGGGTGACACCGCAGCCGGGCTGTGCAGCCGCACGTGTGCCCTCCCTGCCCAGCTGTGCCGCTTTTCCGTTCGCGCCCATCCTGCGCTGCAGGTGTGACCGCCATGTGCAGCTGTGCTGCTCGGCTCCTCTGCGTGCGGCTTTAGTGGTTTTGAGGGGAAGGAGGCTCGGCTCAGATTGGGTGTTTGGGGAAAGAATCTTTTACCTGTGAGGGTGCTGAGGCCCTGGTGCGGATTGCCCAGGGAAGCTGTGGCTGCCCCATCGCTGGCAGTGTTCAAGGCCAGGTTGGATGGGGCTTAGAATAACCTGGGAGAGTGGGAGGTGTCCCTGGCCATGGCAAGGGCTTGGTACGGGATGGGCTTTAGGGTCCCTCCCAACCCAAATCATTCCAGGATTCTGTTCCTCAGCTCACCTCTAATGAAGACTGTACATTTCTGATGTTTTAAAATCATTAAATCCTAACAAAATAATAATCTGAATTTATCTAGAGCATTCAAGATGAGCAAACACCCAAGCCTGTGTACTTTGAAGGATGTGAAAAGTGCATATTATATGGCTCTATGTAGATACTTACTATATGTATTTTGTGTATTGATTAGTAGTGCTGTATTAACATTTTAATAATATGAAACTGAATTCTTCCTGCCTAGCTAAAGACTGAAGGCACCTTAGGATTAGGAGGAAGAAGTGGACGATGACCAGACCAAATCCTTTGTTTGAATGGAATTTATGCATCATGTATGAAGTGTATGAATATGCAACAGGCTGTTGCTTTTATGGGTTAATCCTCTGTTAACGTGTGTCCTTTTTCGGGCTCATGCTGCCCAGAAAAATGTACCTGGATGTCCATAACTCTGTTTCTATTGTCTCATATTATCCTAATTCAAATTGCCCAAATTATTATTACTCTAACTGTATTACTTTTTTAACAGTCGTTTTATTACTATTAAACTTTTAAAATTTTAAAAACAAGTGATTTGTGTTTTTCACCCTGGATAAAGTGTGGCCTGCATTAAACTATCACTGTTGTTTCCCTAAGATGTTGCAATCTGTTTTCCAGGTGTTTCAGCCCAGTCATTCCTTCACTGCTTTACTCTGGCCAGCTCTGCCTTTAACCTGCAAGTGGCAACACCTGGGGTGAGTGAAAATGGATAAATGCTGTGATTTCAGCCTGAAACCAATTGATATCTCAGTTGTCATGAAAAAAATAATATAATTAATATAACAGAAATTTATTGAGAGGTGTTTTATTGGCTAGACATTAAGGGACTTGGTATTAAAAAAACCAGACCTAATTCTGTTTTTTTAATACCAAAGTGACTGCAGCCTTTCTGTAGCGTGGGTTTGCACTTCTCTATCCAGTGTCTGTTCCCACAAAGAGTGGAGGGAAAACTATTAGCAGTAATCCAGTGGGGAAAATGCAAAGTTTCAAGTTTTTGAGAGCTGAAAGCATCTCAGAATCCCCCATGGCCATCCTTCAGAAGTGTCCTGGATGCCTGTGCAGTGATGCTGACCGGGGTGTCACCATGTTGTCCCCAGGGGAAGCCCATTGACTTTGTGGATGTGAACGAGGCCAACACGCGCTGGATCCAGGACTTCCGCATGAAATCCTACGCCAGCCCTGCCAAGCTGGAGTCCATCGATGGTGAGGCTGTCACCACGGGCCTGTCTGGGAAACAGGGCCTGCTCAGGGCCAGGATTTTAGGGAAGAATGACACAGAAAAGGCAGGGAAGTTGTTTTTCAAGAACTGCAGTTGTCGATTTACTTTTTATTTAAGAGGAAGTCCAAGCAACTGCTTTGCAGTTTTGTTACTTATTTTGGAATGGTCATTCTCTTTTAATGTATATGTAATATATACAAATAATGTCTGTGTGTATACAAGCACATAATACATTGTTACTTGTTAAAAATAAGTATTTTGCTGGAGTAGGAGCCAGCAGACAGAACAGTTGTAAGTTTTGCCTGGCTCATTAAAAATGTGTGTCCCTTGTCCTAAGGAGGACCTTTTTCTCTCTTCTGTTTAGCTTTATTAGTTTCTTTAGGTAATTTTTAACTGATTTATGTGGGTTTGTCCTTTTTTTCCAAACATGCAGTGGATTTATAATCAGGCTTTTGGGGTTTTTTACCTGTCCTACAATCAGTTCCTGCTTCCCTCCCACCCAGGGGCTCGGTACCACGCCCTGCTGATCCCAAACTGCCCCGGGGCTGTGACTGACCTGGCCAACAGCGGCTACCTGGCCAAGATCCTGCAGCACTTCAGCACTGAGAGCAGTAGGTGAACATTCCTGGGGGTTGGGTAGATGAAACAGGGCTCCTGTGCTGCCTCTGCAGGGTGGCTGCCTTCCAGAGACTCCAGAGTGTTTGCATGGCTGAAGAGCATTCCAAACTGGGAAGGAGAAAGGAGATGTCAAGGGGGAAAACAAATGGCTTAATGGGCCTTTAAAAAGGGAAAGGGAGACTTAAAGGGAAAAAAAAAGTGTCTTAATGTGTCTTAAATAAGAAAAAGGGAGCCTTGAAAAGGAAAAAGAGGTCTTGAAGTATCTTAAGGAGCAATGCCAGTAGCTTTTCAGGGCTTGTCTCAGAAGAAGGATTTGCTGCCTTACAGAAATGGCTCTGTCCAAATCAGCAGCATTTCAAGGCTCAGAGCCAAGTGTGGAATGTCCCAGGATCATCATTAAGGCTGCACTTAATCAAGACTTGGGGTGTGCTCCACATTTGAGCATTTGTGGAGCTGTCTCTGGAGTTGGAGTTAAAAGCTGCAATTCTTGTTCTTCCTCTTACTGTAATAGTAATAAAATAATTGTAATACTGTAATAATTGTAGCAATTCTTATGATAGCAATAATTGCTACTGCAGGGTGCAGGAAAGCCCCTGCAGCCTAAAAGAGCATTATCAGTGCAGTGTAACTTCACTGCAGCAGGGCAGCATGAGGCTCAGCTGTGTTTTAAGTACTTGGAGATGCTCACAAATGTGCTTTCATTCTTTTCTAGAGCCTATCTGTGCTGTGGGGCAGGGAGTGGCAGCTTTGTGTTGTGCCACCAATGAGGATAAATCCTGGGTTTTCCAGGGATACAGCCTGACAGGGGTAAGCCAAGCTTTTACCTTGCTTTTGCTGTTTGGGGGCTTTTTTTTGCTGTGTGATTTCTGGTGGTTTTGAACTTCCTGTAAATATAAATTATCAGTTTGGTGCCCTTGGCTTGTGCAAGATGTGCAGAGCTGTCGTTGACAAGGGGCCCAGCACTGGGTGCATGAAGGGTTTGTCCCACTTTTTAGTGGCATGTGGGGAATGCTTTCCCTCTGATTGTTCAGTAAACTTCAAACTGAAGCAAAAAAAAAAAAGAGCTGGAAGTTCCTGCTGCAGCTCTTTGCATTTGTTGTTGAGGACTTACAAAAAATTTTTGTTTGTTTAATGAATGCTAAGGATAAGTTATATTTCTCCAAGTACTGTTTCTTTTTAAAAGGTAGAGGGAATCTTAGGAAAAAAGTTAAAAGTTTTAGGAAAAAAAGGCTGTTTGTACAAACTGGCTTGCAATTAAAGCAGCCAGTTACTGCTGATACTTTTATTTTGTGTGCTCTGGCCTCACAGCCCATTTTATAGTGTCAGAGTGATGCAAATGGCCCCAGTACAGCTTTCTAGCCTGGAAAATTTACATGGAAAGTTAAGAAATAAGGATTTTGTGACTCACAAAAGCTATTAGTGTTCTCATGTGCTTCTCTTTGAGTTAAGGATTATTTATGACTCTCTGTGGATTGTTACAGTCCATGATGAAATAATTTAAATCATGTTGTGGCCTAGCTGTGGTTGCTGTGGAAACTATAAAATTAAGTTCCTTCCTTTTGTGTATTAAAATTAAATGTTCTGTCTGTAAGCTGTTTCCCATATTCATTCCAACATGGATTACTGGTTTTGGACAGCATCTGTGTCCAAATATTTGTGTGCCACAGACAGACAGGTCTGTGCCTTCCTGAAGTTAATCACACCTGCAGGAATTGTTTGGTGCTGTTATTTCCTCTTTACTTAACTCACTTAAGAGTTTCCATTTTGCTCCCTACACAAAATCCATCAAAGCTGCTTGTGGTCATTTGACTGGGTGAATAGTAGAGGGAACAGAAGTATAAATTTCAGGGAAATAAGTGCTGGTTTCTTGGCTTTTTCTGTAAAAAAGCCAGCCAAACTAATTTCCTTTTGATCTGTTTCAGCCCTCTGTGTACGAGCTGGTGAGGCAGCCCAATTTTGCCAGTTTGTCCATTATTGTGGAGGACTTTGTGAAGGATTCTGGAGCTACATTCAGTGGTGGGTCATGCCTGGTGTGTGGGATCTTGGGCACTTTGTGTCTCCCTTGGGAAATGAGTGTGTGTGTGCTGGTTGTGTCCAGCTGAGCAGGACTCTGGCAGGATCTCTCAGCTGCAATTCCCATTCCCTCATTTACCAGTATATAACTGCTCATTTGCAAGGCCAGCTTGGACAGGGCTTGGAGCAACACTGGATACTGGGAGGTGTCCCTGCCTGTGGCAGGGGGATGGGACTGGATGAGCTTTAGGATCTCTTCCAGTCCAAACCAGTCTGGGAATCTGTGTGGAGTGAGGAAACTTAAAAATTCTGTTTGGGGTGCTGAGCAGTTGCTGGTAGATCTGAGCACACTGGGGAGCTGTAATTGGCCAGAAAATGAGTATTTGATTTTTGTAGCCTGGTGATCACAGCTCATGTCTGGCATAATATGAGTTTGTGTTGTATTGTGAGTAATTGTAGTTTTCAAACACACACTTTGAGTTTTTCATTATCTCCTGATATGTGAACTTTACCCACCTGCTGTTAACTGAATCAAGGACCCAGTCCTGTCCTTTCAGAAAAGGATTTCCTAGGGAAACTTTTTCAGGATGAGGGGCTTGAGACTGCCCCTCTCTGCTGGGGTGATAGACCAGCACCCAGCAAATCTGTCTGGCCACAATAGTTATGTGTTGTGTGGGTTTGTCAGGGGTGTGATCCTGGCACTGAGCAATCCCTGTGTTTTTCCTCCTGTGTTCAGCCAGCAGCCCAGATGCTGTCCATGTGGTGCTGGACAGGCACCTGGTGACAGGACAGAATGAGAATTCCACCCTTCCTGCTGTCCAGAACCTTCTGATTCTTTGCAATGTCAGGTGAGGCAAGATGGCGCTTAAAAACTGGGAACAGCCAGGGGTGAGCTTTTCTTTTTTGTTTCAGGAATATTGTCTCTCAGAAGGGGTTTTTCCCCTTGGTTTTCTGCTGAAGTGTGTGTCACTTCTGTTTGATCAAGCCAGCCAGGCAGTTGTGTCTTTTGGCAAAGAGCATTTGATTATTGAAAAGAAAAAGATGAAAATGTGTGTGGGAAATGCACAGCTGTAGTGGAGCTGGCAAAGTAAAATGCTGAACAGGCTTCACTAAACATTTCTGTTCAGGGAAACAACTCTTGTTTGCTGAGCTTTGGCAGGCTGGCTTTGAGTCAGCCCTGATTTAGGATTCTGGGAATGAATGTATTTAATTTCTTTGGAAATGGTTTGGCTTGTTTGAGTGTCATCTTGTCAGATAGAGGAGCCCATATGAATAACCTCAAACCCCTTGTTTTGTTCAGGTGAGTGTGGGCACTAACAGGTCCTGTTGTGTCTGGGTGTGTTTCCTTCAGCAGGAAATGAAGGGAAGGTCTGTTTGCAAAGAGGATGGATGAAGAGCCAGCAGGCTGAGGATTTCCATGGCTGTGACCTGGATGAAGACCCCTCTGAACCCCTGTCCTGGACTCTGAAGTGACTGTGGCAGTGCCAGGTTCTGTGTGGATGGAATGGATGGAGGTTGCCAGAAGCAGCTGGGACACTCCCTTATATTTTTGCTGCTCCATTCCCTCACTGCTTCTCTAGACCCTCAGTTTACAGATGTGGGGAACCATCTCCTCAAAACCCCCCAAAAGTTGGTGCTGTGAATACAAATTGCTGAAGCTGTGCTGGTGCACAGTGTGCCCTTGTTGTCGTCCTGTTCACATGGCTGGAATTGTGCTCAGAAAGTTTGCTCAGCTTTTTTTTTAACGTGGTCCTACAATTGTTTATTTGTTCTCCTTTGTGCTGCTTACGTTGTGGGTTTTGTTCTCTTGGGAATGCTCTTCTCTGGGAGTACACTGCTGCTGTCTCTTGCTGGAATTTTGTGGACTGGGGCACTGGAAATGCAGGTGGTTAATGTGGGTCCCATCTGAGGACCCAGCTGTGGGGTGGAGTCTGGGCTCCTCCTTCCTTCTGAGCTGCAGGTGTGGCTTGAAGCTGAGCATGGGAAGGAATAACCAGACTGAGATTTTTTTTTTTTTTTAATTGTTGCAGGCTCAAACATACAAAATTATTGGAAAGTAGATAAATTAACTTTCAGATAATTGATTTTCCTTCCCTCTTGGAATTGTGGGCAGCATTTCTCCAGTGCTCTAAAGAAATGGGGTTATTTTCTTACAATATTACAATATTTTGGTTCTAACAAATCATCAAGTCAGGAAATTTTCTCTTTTCTGTGTGAATCCATATTTTTTTAGCTCTTTCTCAAGAATTCAGTGTGATTTGAAAAGACAGACTGCTGTGGGTTTTGCTGGGTCTTCTGCTGTCGCATTCTGGAGCCCAGCTTACAGAACCTTGGCATTGATGGAAATGAAAACCAGAATTTGAAATGAAAATTGTGCTTTGATAGATATTAAATGATCAATTAACTTTGATAATTTAAATCTTCATTCCTGCCAAGCCATCTTGGGGATTTGATGCTGACACCATCAGGAAATACTTTCAGTCTGGAAAGCCACATCTTGTTTGTGAGGTGGGAGACTGTATTTCCTTAGGGTCTTTGTTTCCATGGGATTTTGCCAAAATTGCTACATCTTTTCTTTGCTTACCTGTAAAAATAGAACATTGGTGTCTACTCTGTGTCCTGTTTTCATTCCTTAAATGAGGTTGTCCAGGCTCATTCATCTGCTGCTAGGTAGCAAACAGCATTCAAACCTTTAGATGCTTTGTTCAGTCCCCTTTTGTACAATTTTTCCTTATTTTGGGGCATCCAGGACCTGCAGGAATTGCTCTGCTTGTGCCTCTGTCAGGTGGTTGGACAAAGCACACTGCCTGGGGACTTGATGGTGATTTCTTTTTCCTCCCATATGAGAGCAGAAAAAAAAAAGAGTTCCTGTGTGTATTTTCACTCTTTCCCATCACACCATGAAGTTGCTGTTGGGAAAATTGGGGGAGGAAGGTGTGGTCAGGCTGGAGAGGTGATGTGTGCAGGGCCAGCAGCTGTGTGGGGTGGCTCTGGATGTGGTGGGCTGGATTGTGTCACCTCCTCAAGTCATGCTGACAAACTGGAAGCCACCTGAGTCACAGAATCATGGAAATTAGGTTGGAAAAGAGGTTTAAGATCAAACCCAAGCATCAGTGCAGCACCACCACCATGTTCACCTCTCAACCTCAGGTATCACATCCTTGTGTTTTCTGAGCCCTTCTAGGGGTGGTGACTCCACCACTGCCCTGGGCAGCCTGTTCCAGGGCTTGATGTCCCTTTCCATGAGGAAATTTTCCTTAATATCCAGCCTAAACTTCCCCTGGCACACCTTGAGGCCATTAGTGGTGATAGCTCTTAAGTTCTTGTTCAGGATGGCCAATTTTAGCCAGGGGTTGGAAAAAATTGTTCAAAAAAATGGTGAGAAAAGAAGATCAAATGAATGTAGGAAACACAAAGTTGTTGAATGTCATCCAGGTATGTTCAGGAAAGTTTTATTTTGTTCATTTTCTGTGTTAATTTTGTACTACAAACGTAAAATTTGATCGTTTATTAGGTATTTTCTTTTCTTTTACCTAAAAGGTATTTACATCAACTAAAATCATGAAGTGATTTTAGTTGATGTAAATCAACTAAAGAGCAAGAGCAACAAATCAAACAAAGAGCAAGTAAATCAACAAAGAGCAAGGATTTTTGGATAATTCTTGTATTTTAAACTTCCTGTGGGAATAATTTAGGTACCTCAGTTTGGATCTTCTGTACCTTGTGCCTGGTCCCTGTGAACAGTCCCATCCCAGGCATCCCAGCAGTGGGGTTTATACTAAGGGGTTTTTGTCTCTCTTTGTTTCCCAAGGAATTGAAAACCTTCAAATTTGGGAGATTTTCATCCTACACAAACCTTTATTGTTTCAGCATTGTGCTGTGCAGTGCTTGGTGCTTTGGTCCTAGGAATGTTACCAGGCAGGCTTGTTTCCTTGGAAATCTGTTCCTGGTAACATCCAGCTGGTGGGTTTTACTGTTTTATTTATTTGGGTGGGGGTTTGATTTTATTTTCTAGAGTTTACCTGATTTATTTGTTTGGGACTCACGGTGTTACCTCTTTTCTGGGCTTTATAGCAGGGACCTCATCCTCTGTTCTCCTGTGATGTTTTTACAGGCAGGCATGGAGGTACCTGCTAGAATCCTCAGAGTGCCCCTGCAGCACGTGGAGCAGGATGAATCCAAAGGCAGGAGGAGTTTTCTTGGATGTTGGCTCACAGCTGTAAAGGATCATTGCTGTCCTGCACCCCACAAAGGATTTCTTCACCCAAAAGAGGGCAGCCCACCATCCCTAAGGCCTGGGAGCCTTTCCTGGTAGGATTACACCTGAGCTGGGAGGAGGGGTGCTGGTGCAGCAGTTGGGAAACTGCTTAACTCTGGAAAACAGAGCCCCAGGACCTGCCTGTGGGTATGATCTCAGCTTTTGTGTTTTTGAGGATCCTGACAAGATGTTTGAGCTCTGGCCCTGTCTGCAGCTGGTGGTTGTTGGTCATGCCAGCATTCCATTTGTGTATTAACTGATTTAATTAAGATTTTTTTCCTCAGAGCTTCTACAGTGTAATCTTGTAAAAAAAAATTAAAATGGAATCTTCTGCTTTGTTAATCTTGTGTGCATTCAAACAAGGGCCAGAAGAGATGGAAGTGCCTCTTTGGTCCTGGTTTACTTGAAAATTTCAAATGGAACTGTCTGGGTTTGGTGCCATCCATCCTGGCTTGTGAGGGCTGTATTGGATAGACATAACCAGTGACTCTCATGACTAATTTTAAATTAAATTCCATGTTGGGAAGATGAATATAAATGGATGTACTTACTGTGTCTGTTCTTCCAACAGCTCTGCTTTGCTGTACCCCATGTCAAGAATGAAGGAGGTGCTGGGAGCAGCAGGGTGTCTCCCTTAGCACAGTCTGTGATGGGATGCAAGGCACAGCTGGAGGAGGAAGGAAAAGCTTTTCCAACCCCTCTCCAAGCTTTGTGTGTTTGCACAGAGCTGGATGTTGGAATCAGAGAGCAGCCACCACAAGGAAAGGTTGGGAAAGGTGCTGTCATTTTAAAATCAGTGCTTTAAAGTTTATCTATTGATTCTTTAGGATTTCTCCAAACATAGATGTTGTATCTGCCCCTAATTCCTCAGTCCTGTCCTTGTGACTGTGGGAGCCACACACCTTCCTGGGAGACAAGAGACATCTCCTGATTTCTTAATCTCAGGAGGTATGGGAATGTGGGAAATCCCAGGAGTTTGTAAGCAGGGCACAGACAGGGCCCTGGGAGAGATCCCTGCATCTGCTGAAGAGAGGGGAGATTGAGGAAGAGTTAAGGAGTGAACACACTTTGTGTCACTGACTAAAGAGCTGTACAAGCTGAAGGTTTATGTGGTGCTTGGTTTTTTTTATTCAGAAAGGATGTGGAGTTTGTGGCTTAGCCACGGATGTCAGGCCCCTCACAACATCCATCTGTGCTGCAGAGAAAGAACCCCAGGGCTGGGGAGTTCTGAAACACCAGCTGCCACCACAGGAAGGAAGGGATCCCGTGACCCCTCTTGCCTCCTCAGCTCTTGAGAGGCATCTGTTGGTGAGTGGAGAAAGGTTACTCAGACACCTTTTCCTACCTCTTGTTCTTTTCCCCCTTCCACTGTGCATTTCATTCTCCCTTGAGCACCTTCTGCAATGCTTCAGTTTCATTTGAGCTCCACGGTGGTACTGACCCAGTTGTGTCTTGGCTATGTGAGGGGACAGATTCCATGCATGAAGGTTCTTGCCTCACTCAGGAGGAAGAAGGGGCATTTATTCCACAGGCTCCAAGCCTCTGATCAGCCAGTTTGATAGCACCAAGTCCCCAAATCCTGTGTGCCCAAATCCCTGCCCTGCCCTGGTGGTGCAGTGTGTGGTGTTAGAGCACAGCAACCTGCTCAAGGTAAGGGGTGCAATGAGATGTTCTTCAAGGTCCCCTTCCAACCCAAACCATTCTAGGAATCTCTTGGAATTCTCAGTTTAGTAAGAGTGAAAAATGCAAAATAGGTTAAATTGAGAAGGGGTGTGCAGAGTCAAGCTTTTAGTGCTGGCTTGAATTTGACAGGGGAAAATGTCACCTCCTTTTGGGCAGCCTGGTCTGCTTCCCCCTCTCCACAGCTGTAGGACAGAGGGCCTGGATGAGTTCCCTGGGGATTTCACCTCCCTCTGGCAGACTGGCACTGTTCCCAGGGCAGGCTGGGAGGGCAACACCAGCTGTCTGTGTGTGATTATAGCTGCTGTCCCTTTGGCTGGAACAGCAGCTCCCAGGTTGTTCTGGATGTGCTGACAGCAGAGCTGCTGTGTCACACTGGGGGAGGATCAGTGCCTCCCTTGCTGTGACAGAGCACGTGGCTGTCAGTGCTGTTGCCTTTTCTCCCTTTGAGTTCAGGCAACTTTGTCAGGAAAGAGCAAATTGCATCCATGTATGAGCAGGGATCTCTCAGAACCATGGAATTAATCACTAAGGTTGGAAAGGACTGCTGAGACCATCAAGTCCAGCCATTCCCCAGCCCTGCCAAGGCCACCACTATCCCTGTCCCCAGATGCCACATCCATGTGCCTTTTAAATCTCTCCAGGGATGGGGACTCAGCCTGGGCAGCTGTGCCAGCTTGGACAGCTTTTAGTGAAGGACTTTTCCCTAATATCCAATCTAAACCTTCCCTGGCACAACTTGAGGCCATTTCCTTCCTGTCCTATCACTTCTTCTTGTCTCCTCTTCATAGAACAGGATCTATATAAACAAATAAGACACACATAGATATTTTGACATATATATGTGGCTCACAGGAATGTTGGTGGGTTTTGGACCAAGAGGGGCTTGTGAAATCTGTGTTTGCTCTTTAAAACAACCTGAAATTAAAAACTGTTTTCTTCCATGTGTTAGGACTGAAGACTTAATAAAGAATTTGAAGATTAAAATCCTATCAGGAGTCTCCTGCAGCAATGAATCGACCACGTTACAAGGCAAGTCGGTTTTAATTTGCATGTATTGACAAAAGTGCCACAAAAATTTGAAATTCCATTTGTCCCTTTGCAAATTGATAAAAAAAAAAGCATGATACAGAAATCTATCCATACACAGCATGATACTTGTACAGGTAAGACATTTGTACATCCACTGAACCTCAGG